AGTGGAGCACCCCCCTGCACCCACGGATCGGAAGCCAGCACCACCCACTTCTCTGTGCCCCAGACTGCCCCTCCGCAAGACATACCGGGAGAACGTGGATGCCTTCAGCAGCTGCCGGGCCGGGGCCCCCCGGGCAGCCGCGGGGGGTAGCCCGGCCCCGGCCCCCCTCATAAAATCGGACGACACCACCAGTGGCCTCATCCGGGAGCTGGCCGAGGTGGAAGACGAGTTGTACCAGCGGGTGATGAAGGCGGCCCCTCCAGAGGTGGTGACCGCTGGGACTGGGGCCGGAGCTGGGCCCGCCTGGGAGGCGCCTCCCTTGCCACCGGCCAAGAGGCGCAAATCGGAGTCCCCGGACATGGACAACGCTAGCTTCTCCAGTGACAGCCCCCAGGACGACTCCCTGACGGAGCACCTGCAGAGTGCCATTGACAGTATCCTCAACCTCCAGCAGGCGGCCCCTCAGCCCTCGGGCCGGACTGCGGGCGGCCCCTCGCACCCCAACCTGGCCGCCTCCCCGCCCCCGCACCGGCCCGACAGCTACCTGGGCCCCAGCCACAACGGGGGCCTGGGTGCCAGGACGTTGAATAGATAACAGCAGAGCATCTCCCCCTGCCCCCCCTTCCCTCCGCGGTCCCTGCAGACAGCCCTGAGAACGTACGCCCAGGGAGGATCAGGCCAGGGCCCCCCCTCTGCCTTCCCCCACAAATAACTTGCTGTTTCTTTCCTAAGTTATTGGATTTATCAATACCCTGACCTCCAACCTGGCTCCAGCCCCAGAACACTAAGAAAGGAGGTGGGGGGGGCCGTGGAGCAAGCAAGCAAGGTCCCTGGGTCTTGGGGAGGCCCTTGGGGGCCCCCCAGCACCCACAGCCTGTGATCTTAGTGGGTCCTTAGGCTCTGCTCCAGCTCCAGGGGAGGGGGAAGGAGGGGACGCCGATTACTGCCACTGTGTGTACGTCCGTGTGTCTGTGTGCGAGAGAGAGAGAGAGAGAGAGAGAGAGAGAGAGAGAGAGCAGGGACTGTTTCAGAGTTGGGAGAGGGACCTTAGGGACCATGGAGTCCAGAGAGAGGAAAAAGGATTTATCAAGAGCCTGCTACGTACCAGGCGTTGTACTAAGTGCTTCACAAACATGAGGGGACTTAGAGCTGGGAGGGACCTTAGGAGCCGTCTTCTTCAGTGCCCTTGGGCAATGGAGGCCCCATCCAAGGGAAGGGACTTGTCCAAGGTCACACAACAGCACGTCAGGAGTAGCATTGGAGTAGAACCATCCCCCAGCTTGCCAGATTACTTGCACCACCGTGCCTCCCACTGTGTCTCTTCTTGAAGGGGGCTGTCTTTTCTAGCCCTCAGAGGAGCTCCGTGTGTGTGTGTCCATGCGTGTGCGTGTGCGTGTGTTTGCGTGTGTGTGTGTGCGCGCTGCTCCCCCACCCTCCCCAAATCAGAGAGTCTCCCAAAGCCGAAGCAGACCACTCTATCTTCCCACCCTTTCAGCCCTGCCCTTCCTCCCACCCCACTGCCGGGCTTTGAGATCTCGGAGACAAACTAGTACTGTAAAATATTTTGTACTGTATTTATTGTGTATAACGATTTTTTAAGGAATCCTGTACATTTAGTATTCCCCTGTAAATTAAAGCCAGTCCTCTTTTTAAACCGGAATCTGTGCCCTGCCCTGTCTCCACTCCCTTCTTTCTGGTCTTTCCACGTTGGGGTTAGGGATTGGGGGAACGGGGTGAAGGTCTGAGAGAGAGGCTTCTCCTTTGCTTCTCTAAAGAAGAAGGGTAGTGACTGATAGGCTGACAGAGACCAGGAGAGATGGAAACATGAGGAAATACAGAGAAAGACCAGGAAATTATCATGGCTGACATTTCCATAGCATTCGGAGCACCCCTACTGAACAGAAAAGCCCTGATCTCTTACCTCTGCTTGACAGGGAAGGAAACCACTTAGGCTAAAATGACTTGCCCAGAGTCACACAGCAATTAAGCAAAAGCTGCAGACACTTGAGCTGGGCAGAAAACGTACGCAGTGTATGCTAGCCATCCCTTCCTTTCCTGAGGAGAGAAAGAGAGATTTGGGGGGGGCGGGGAGAAAGAGGGGAGAGAATATCCTAAGCTTACATCCAGCTCCCCTGGAAGCTGAAGTTGGCGCTCTCTGCCAAAAACAAACCACTTACCTATTCTTAACTGCTCTAAATTACCTTTTGAAGAACAAAAATGATGGAGAAGATGACACTGAGGATGCTTGATTCTGGTCATTAGGGGGAGTGCTTTGCAGCAGCAGAACTTCAGGGTGTGATGGTGTGGGCCCGTGACTCCTGCTTCTGGGGGAGGCTGAGAGGCTGCTGACCCAGAGTTTGGGGGCTACACTTCTGACAGCCAATCAGGCGTCCTCACTGAGTCTGGCACCCACAGAGCACCAACCAGGAGTTTGGGGGCCACCAGACTGCCTCAGGAGGGTCTGAGTGCCCCAAACAGGTCAGGTCAAAGCCCCCATGCTGGTCAGTAGGTGGGCCTGGTGCTGCTAGCCTGGCCAAGACAGGAAAACAGTCTCCAAAAGTGGGATTGGGGGGGATAGAGGAAATGGAGGGGAACCTTTGACAGGGAAATGACCGTATGATCTTGGAATTAGAGACAGAGAAAGAAGGGCAATCCAGGCTCTCGATTTTGGGAGCGTGGATGGAGTGGACAGATGACCCTCTCAGACGCTGTGGCCCCGGGAAAGTATCTTTGGACCTCAGTGTTCTCATATAAAATGAGGTTTGGCCATTAAGGGCCCTTCCAATCCCAAGACCATGATAGCAAGGGATTCAGAGAAAGGCTAGGTAGGATTCTGCATCCAAAAATTCTAATGGGGAGGCTGGTGGGAAGCACTGTGGGATATAATACTGAAGCCAACAGATGCCATCCCAATTAAGAAGAAACCAGGAGCTACCTTAGAAGAGACCAAAGAGAGTGCTTAGGAAGTGCCCCAATCAGCTTGGGTTTTTGAAAGAGTTACCGGTGGTGAAAAGAAGGGCCAGGGCAGGGGAAGGTGAAAACAAAAGTGTGGGAGCCTTTAGGAAGACGATCAGTTCACTGAGATTTGGGATGAGGGTAGCCAGCCTCTGGGGATTTCAGAGTTCTCATCTGTAAAATGGGGGTAATAACTGTAGAACCTACCTCCCTGGGTGGTTATAAGTTTTAAAGGCAATAATGTCTGTAAAATTATCACAACACAAAGTGCCTATTGTTATTAATGGTGAAATGAAAGGTTCCCTGCTACCCATGCTGAGGGATTTCAGGCCATAGTATGGGTGCAGAACAGTTAGGAAATTCTGTTGGGTTTTGTTTTGGGGAGAGTGGCCCGGGGAAGGGGGGGGGATCATCCCTGGGTTCCACTGGTCCTGCTTGGCTTTCCCTGAAGATGATCTTAAAAAGGATAGATCACTGAGCATTCATACTCCGAGGCCCTTCCCCACACATATATATGCAGGCAGCTCCTGGTCCCTTTGGGGAGCTTGGATGGTTGTGGAACAGCCATGTGGCTGATCGGGGTTCAAATCTGAGCGGCACCACTTATCATCTGTTTGACCTTAAATGACTTGTCAAGTCGTTTAAGCACTATGGGCCTCAGTTTCTTCATCTGTAAGATGAAGGGGTTGGGCCAGATGACATCTAAGGACCATTTAGCTCTTAGAGCTTTGGCCCTGAAACATCAGTAGTGGGGTTGTAGGACTCACAGAGTTATGTTTTGAAGTTGGAGGTGACCTTGGGAGCCACTGAGTCAAACCCCTTGGGTTTTACAGTTGAGGAAACTAAGGCCTTGTTAAATGACTTCTACAGATAATGGATAAAGCAGGATTTAAACCCAGATCTCCATGACTGACTCTGGTGCTTTACCTGGGCTGAAACTCCTATCTGGGACTAGTCATGGTAGAATGATAGGAATGGGGCTGGACCTGGAATTGCATTCCCGGGTGAGAGGCAGTGCTGCTTTCCCTGTAATTTCAGTTGGAGTCTCTTAAGACACAGCCAGTCTGGGTCCAAGCCGGCTCTATATCCACTAGTGGCGGAAGTAAAAAGACCTAGAGGTGAGACTCTGGCCCTGGGAGGTGTGGGGGGGGAGAGGGCGTCCCCTGAGGAGGGTCTCTAGGAGAATGGTGACCCAGAAGTGACCAGAACTGCACAGGATGAGAAGGCCTTGGTGGAGTTGTGAACTTCACCTGGAGAGCCAGAGAGGGCTCCCCCTCATGAGGATGTCGGCAAAGAAAGTCAGCACGGATGGAGCTCTGTGGGACCCCACGACAAGAGGGAAAGCCCAAGTCTTTGAGAAGTCCATGTGATAATGCGGCCCTGGGTTCATCCAAGCAGAGCACTACTTTGATGTTTACAAAGCACTTTGAGTATGTGAGTAATAAAAATGCTATCAAAAGCACTCTGTGTCTATCTATAGCTATATATCTATACCCACATAGAGTTAGAGATATTTGTGTGTGTGTATGTGTACAATCTACTTGCTCCTTATCTAGCCTTGCAAAATACATAGGGATGGTGGAGCAGAGGTATACATACATACATATACGTATGTATATGCATATATATGTACATATACAGAGAGGGCAATGAGGGAGAGAAATAGAAAATAGAGAAAAGGGAGAGTAAAAGAGAGAGAGAGAATTATATTACTGTTTGCAGAATAAATATAAATGTGAGATAAGAGCCTCTTACCCTTGCAGCTGGGCATAACCAATTTGATCTCCCTTTAATCCTAGAAGTGAGGGGTAGTTTAACATATAGAATCCCTGCATGAATCGTCTCAGTTTGCTTTGGGTCCTTATTTTCACATAGTAACAGATACTGATTATGGTGACTTCCTCACTTTTTTTGAACCAGACCTAAGGTTTAATTGGCACAGGGAGCTCCCAGTGAAGAAACTCCCTCTACCACTTTTTTTTTTTTGCTATTTGCATCCCCAGAGCTTAGCAGAGTGCCTGACACATATAAATTCTGAATTCATCCATCCTTCCTTCCTTTCTTCCCAAATCAGAGGTCAAGGGACTTGTCCCAGGCCACCTAGACAGTGCATGTGTCAGAAAAAGGATTGGAACTTCAGTGTTCCTGACCGCGAGGCTTGATCTCAAGTCACTGTGCCAAGCTGTTATCTCTAGCTAGCTCCACTTTACAGATGAGCCAACTAAGGCTCAGAGAAATCATCGGACTTGCGGAGGGGTCACACAGCGGGTCTGCGTGGGAGGTGGGCTTCACACCCAGGTCTCTCCGGTGCTCCCTCTTCCTCCCCGATACTGCCGCAAAAGACCGGTGCTAAAGAGAAAGACAACGGGAGACGCGAGGAAGGGAGGGAGGGAAGGGGACAGAAACAGGGACAGACGCGAAGTAGCAAAGTCGGGAAAGAGGCTCAGCCGCCCACCAGGGGGCGGCAGAGGCCGGGGTGGGGGCCCGCTGGGGAGGGGAGGACGGCACAGGGGAGGGGAGGGTGCGGTGACCCTCCCAGCCCCTCCCTCCCTCTCTCCTTCCCTCCGCCCCGCCCGCCCCGGCTCAGACGGAGACAGGACAGCGAGCGGCAGCCGCGCCCAGTGCCCCCCTGCCCAGCCTAGTCCAGCGGGGACCCCCGTAGGACAAGACAGGACAGGGCAGGACAGACAGGACAGGACAGGTCCTTGCGTCTTCCCGCCTGCGACGCCCGGCTTGGTGGGTACCTCCTCCGCCCTCTCCATCTCCCCCACCCCTCAATCTCCCCGCTTTCCTCCCAGCCTTTCTCACCCTCCCCTTTCCTCCAATGCCACCTTCCCTCCACTTTCCCCATCCCTTCTGGTCCCTTCCAGTGCCTTCAGCCCCTCTAGGCGCCCAGAATCCTCCTTGCCCACCCCCAGGCTCCCCACACGCCCCCGCCGGGCACTCACCCTGCTCCAAGCCCCCATCTTCATAGGATCGCACAGGTAGAGCGGGAGGGGGGACCTTCGTAGCGCCCGGGCTCAACCCTCACCCTTTACAGATGACCGAACTGGGGCACAGTTAAGTCATTTGATGAAGTTAAGGCAGCTAGGGACTGACTGACACAGGATTTGAATCCAAGTCCTCAGGACTCCAAGCAGCCCCTTCACCATCTTCTCCTCCTCCTCCTTCTTCCTCCTTCTAGGCCCATTCTTCTCGCTAACCCCACACCTGTGGAAAGAGCCCGAACTCCGGAGTCAGAGGACCTGATTTAAATCTTACTTCTGACATTGACTTTACTCCCTGTTAAACGAGAGGTTGGACCAGATGGGCACGGAGATCTCTTCCAGCTCCCGGGTCCCCTCTCTGTCTGGCTCTCTCTCTCCTCCTCCGGGCTGGCCTTAGGGCCCTCTCTTCCATCATAGGTCCACTCCGCGAAGTTGCCTTCTGTTTATCCATCGTCAGTTCTCTCCCTGGTTTCCCCTCCTTGCCCAGGCAGCCCGTCAGCGCTTTCTCCTTTCTTCTGTCCCCCTCCCCCTACTCCTCAGGTAATCCCCCTTCCCCCATCAGCTTCCACCTCTCTGCCTTGCCTGGTTGCCCCTGGTCCAATCCCCATCCCGATTGCTCTGAGTGAGTCTAGTCAGAGGAGAATCTTTGCAGTACAACTTACCGCCTTCTCTGTACCCTTCCCTTCTTCAAATAGCCTTCTGCCCTTATTTCTTCTCTCTTTCACAATATCCTCTGGCTCTCTTATGTCCCTTCTATCCTCTCCTAGCCCCATTTGCTTCTCTGGATAGCCCCAGTGCAACCTCTTATAGGATTTGGAACCGGACTAGACCTCAGAATAAGATCCACCCCCTGCACTTTCATTGAACAAATAAGAAAGCAGAAGCCCAGTGAGGAGGGGAGAGGGAAGGGAAAATTGGGGGACAAGTAGGGCAACAGTCTGACAGAAGGAAAAAAATCTGGGAGAGAAGGGGGAAGAGAGAAGCAGGTGAAATGAGGAGAGGGTCTGTGGGAAATGCAGAGGAGAAGAGGGAGAAGGGCAGAGCCTGGTGGCAAGAAGGGAGGCCTGGGGGAGAAGCAGGCAAAGATGCTACATTCTGCATTGGATGAAGGCCTTGCTTTGCCTGATGGCTCCTTCCACCATGAAATCTCAGGTCCGATCCGCCTCCGAACTCCTCTGACTGACTCTAATCAGCGAAGAACTTGTCTGTACCCTTCCCTGTCCCAGTGGCCCTCCATCAGAGGAATTATTGCATCTGGGGCAAAAACAAAGGACGGGCTGGGGTGCTGTGGAACTCCAGAGGACAGCTCAGTGGGAGATGCAGTAACATCAGGAGAGGGCAACCTATTCCTCTCCCCACAAAAGGAGTCAGGAGTGCAAACGGGTCCAAGAAGAGGAGTCTGGTGGGTGATGGTCTGAGCAGGGGCCCATCACCTTGGTGGGAATAATAGGAAGCAGAACCCTTACAGGAAGTATGACATCTCCTCCCATTAGACTGTAAACTTGAGAGAAAGGACTGCTGTTTGCCTTTCTTTGAATGCCCTGCACTTAGCACAGTATCTGGAACTTGGTAGTTGCTTAATAACTACTTGGTGACTGACTGAGGCAAAAGCCTCCTCACTCTATGCTGACTGTAGCTCTGCCTTTCATCAGCTCTCTTCCTGACCCACTTCTCCTCCAGGTAGCCCTCCTGCTATCTGTTTCCTGTACCCCTTCTCTTCCTCCAGTCCACATCTTCTCCTTGGCCCTCTCCTCTTACTTTGGCCATCCGTCTATTCATCCATCCACCCATCCATCCATATCCTTCCTATCCCTTCCCTCCAGGCAGCCTCCTATCCATCCTCTGTCTCTCTGTCTCTGTCTCTGTCTCTGTCTCTCTCTGTCTTTCTGTCTCTGGCGCTCTCTCTCTCTCTCTCTCTCTCTCTCTCTCTCTCTCTCTCTCTCTCTCTCTCTCTCTCTCTCTCTCTCTCTCTCTCCATCCTGTCCCAGGAAGCCCTTCACTCCCTCACTCATCCAGGCATCCCTCCATCCACTTTTCCCCTGACTCTCACCTACTTCTCTAGTCACAGATTTTTCAGCTTCTCAGAACTGTGAGGGTCCTTAGAGCCCAGTGAGTCCAGACTACACATGAATGAAAAACCCCTTTGCAAAAAGAAAAACCTAACAATGACCCATTCTACAGATTCTTATTCAGTTACAAAAGGTAGGCATTTTACCCACCCAGTCAAGGGAGTGAAGAACAGTTAGTACCAAAGAGTAGTTAGCAGGACAGTGACGTCCTCAAATCATTTCTTCCTGTACCCCATCCAAAAATTTAACGAGATAACAGCAGTAATAACCATAACTTTATTGACAATAATGCAAACCTAGCTAGTGCTTTAGGGTTTGCAGGGCACTTGGTTCATGAAAACCATGTGAGGCAAGCAGTGCCAATAGTATTATATTATCCCCACTTTTCTAATGAGCAAACTGATGACATTCGGAGAAGTTAAATGATTTTAGCCTTAGTCCCACTGAACTTCCACTTCCCTGGGGCCGTGTGTTCTCTCAGCTCTAATCACTATCGGGTTTTTTCCTGATATCCAGCCTGAATCGGCCTCTCCAGAGCTTCCACCCAGAGCTTTGCCATTTGGAGCCAAGAAGAATAAACTTGGGCCCTCAGCCACAAGACCGTCCAAGACATGTTTCCCCTAAGTCTCCTCTTCTGACCAGTCCAAGCTCTTCTGGATGCATGAGCTGCAGGCCCTTTGCCATTCTCACTACCCTGTCCTGGCTGCCCTTCAGCTCAGCTGGGGCACCCACACTGCTTCTGATGTGATCTGGCCAAGGCAGAGAACATGGGCTCCATCCCCTCCCTCCTGCTTCTGGGTGCTCTGTTCTTTTTAATGCAGACCAAAATCCTCTTAACTTTTTGATTCAGAGTGGAGGAACCGGCATCTTCTATTCGTTAAATCAGGGACTCTTCTACTTATCAGTTTATTATAATAATGCATAATAATAATAGCATTTATATGGCACTTTAAAGTTTGCAATCACTTTACAAATATTATCTCATTTGATCCTAACAACAGACCTGGGAGGTAGGTGTGGAGGGAGCACCATTTTGGAGAGGGTGAGGGATTTGCTCGGATCCCACAGCTAGGAAGCGTGAGGCAGTATATGAAGCCAGGTGTAGCCTGGTTCCAAGGTGAGGGTTCCGTCCACCGCACCACCAAGCAGCCTGTAAATAAATGCATTCATCCTTCTGATTCCATCTTCCTTCAGGCAGTCCTCCATCCGTCCATTTGTGGGCCTACCCTTGGATTTGTGGTTCCAAACGTCGTCCCTCCAGCGGGAGCTCACACCATGTTTAGCTGGCTGAAGCGCGGGGGAGGCGGGGCGGCCCGGGGCCAACGGGCCGAGGCCATCCGCACGGTGACCACCGCACTCAAGGAGCTGTATCGAGCCAAGCTGTTGCCACTGGAAGAACATTACCGCTTCGGGTCCTTCCACTCGCCGGCCCTGGAGGATGCCGATTTCGAGGGCAAGCCCATGGTACTTGTGGCAGGCCAATACAGCACAGGAAAGACCAGCTTCATTCAGTACCTGCTGGAGCAGGAAGTGCCAGGCTCTCGAGTGGGGCCTGAGCCTACTACTGACTGCTTCGTGGCCGTCATGCACGGTGAGACTGAGGGCACCGTGCCTGGCAATGCCCTCGTCGTTGACCCGGACAAGCCCTTCCGCAAACTCAATCCCTTCGGGAATACCTTCCTCAACAGGTGCCCCCCCTTTTCTCCCTGCCCCCATCCTCACCCCACTTCTCCCCCATATTGTTTCTTTTCCTGCTTTTCCCCCCAAGACTTCCCTCATCCTCTCCTCTGCCTACAAGTTCTCCCCAGCCTTACTCAGTTTCTCTCACAGATCCTCTCCCCACTTGTCCCTTCCTCCTCCCAAATTCTTTCCCCCTCCTTCCTGATTCTGTCCTTTCTCTGCTTTCACTCCTTCCCATTCCCCTCCACATTTCCCCCTTCTCTCTCTGACTTCCTTTCTTCTCCCTTTCAGTTCTGCCCTATCCCACTGATTCTCCCTCCATGGAGGGAGATCCTTCCTTTTCTCTGCCTGACTCCCTCGCCCTGACCCTAGACTGGCCGCTGTTCTCCCCAGGTTCATGTGTGCTCACCTCCCCAACCAAGTCCTGGAGAGCATTAGCATCATTGACACCCCGGGCATCCTTTCTGGGGCAAAGCAGAGGGTGAGCCGAGGTAAGACCCGGCATGGGGGTGGGGTGAAACAGGCTGATGAGGGCAGAGCTGGGAGCCCAGAGACCTGGGTCTGGGGAGAGGGGAAGGACCCAGTCCCAGATGCTGATGTAGCCCCTGTAGGGAGGGCTGAGCCCTGGACACCTGGAGTTCTTTCAAGTGGGGCCATGCTAAGAGCCCAGACCCCCAGGTTCTCAGGGAGTCGCTGTTGCCCTGGGACACATTGGGAGTCTAGGACTGGTCTCCTAGTGGCTTAGGGCAGAGTGAGTTGGAGGAGGGCAGGCAGGCAGGCAGGAACTGGGAGCAGCGCAGGGGAGGATGGGATACCTTGTTGGGGCATGTTGATGCTGGGGCGGGGGGGGGGGGGGGGGGGAGGTGGAACTGAACACGTGTGAGGAGTCAGGGCCTAGCTAACGTGTCCAGGCCTAGGCAGAGAAGGCAAGAAAGAGAGCCAGTGGGGGGTGGAGACACAAGGACAGACAGAGACATAGAAGAGGGAGAGATAGAGACAGAAAGAAGGGAGAAGGCAACAGAGAGAATGACATTAGAACAGAGACAGAAAGAGACCAAGGAACAACCCAGAGAGAGAAAAGAGTGAGAGACAGACACAGCGACAGAGAGCTATGCAAAGACTGGAAGAGGCTGAGGGAGAGCTGAGAGAGACAGAGGGAAAATGAGAGAGAGAGAGAGAGAGAGAAGAGAGAGATGAAGAGAGAGAGACAGAGAGAGAGAGGGAGGGAGGGAGAGAGGGAGGAACTAGAGCAGAGCAGAGGCTGGTGGGAGGTTGGGGCGGGAATGGGGGGAGGTGAGGTTGGTTCCCTCTGGGGCCCAGATGTGGGGGGTGGGGCTCCCCTCTCCTTTGGCTGGGCGGGACAGACTTGGGTCCTGGGTGGGGGCCAGGCCCTTGGTGGAATTTATAAACAGCTGGGGGGGGGTGAATTCCTGCAAAGGCCTCTCAGACCATAAGAGGAGGCAGGCCAGGGCTGAGCCAGGACAGGCGGGGCTGGAATGTGGGAACATCCGTGGGCCAGCCCCTCTTTCCTTCACCCCAGGCAGCCGGGTCTCCCCAGTGCTCTGATTTCTTCATCAGGTCTCCCTATCACCATGTTCTCCTTAGGTCTCTATCAGACCTTATCAGACTGAATCTGAACTTTGGGAAGAAGCAGGATGGGGAGACCCACCACCGTGGGATAGCAGGGTGGTCTAGATACCCGGGTTCCCCTGTCCCTGCTCCTCTGTGTGTTCTGAGATCTTGGGCCTGGCAGGGGCTGGCTAGAGGGAGAAGGGGGAGCATAGGTGTCTGGGGCAGAGGGAACAGAGCAGGGACATATATTTTCTGGCTGTTGGCCTAAAGATGGGAGGGGGGTGCTGAGGGCAAGGGAGGGTTAATGTGTCCCTGGCCCTGAGCCTGGGCTGTCCCAAGAGGGAGGGAGGCAGAGGCTGGAGGCATCTGGAGAAGAGATTGGGAAGAGCTTGCCAGGTGGGGGTGAGGAGTGAAGGAATTCCTGCTGTATCCTCCCCTTAACATCCACCAGGGCTTGGGATCAGGTGGGCCTTGAGAGGAGGGAAGATAAGAGGATCAGAAAAGGGGCAGGGGCCACCAGGGCTGCCTGTGTGTGTCTGTCTGGGTGGGTCTGGTGTCCCTGGGTGTGTGTGTGTCTGACTCGGTGTGTCTGCCCAGCAGTCTCGGTCTCCCTCATTCCTTGGGCAGTCAGTGGTATGGCCTGACTCAGTCCTCAGTGTTCCCCTCATACCTTCCCTTCCTCCCTCTGAGACACATTTTCCAGGACTCTGTGTGTTATTGTGCTAGGGAGGTGTTGGGGGGAGAAGGAAGGGCTGGGGAAAAGTGGGGGTGGATCCTTGATGACTTGATCCCTTCCTCCTCCCCAGAACAATGGCTTCCAGATACTGCCACCTCTAGTACTCACACCCTAGGCCTGAGAAGGAGTCGGGGGAGGCCCCCCCTAGAGCAGGGGGCAAGCTGGGCTGGGCACCAATGGGCAGGACCCATCCAGGCATTTTTTGTGCACTAGGAGAGGCCCTCCTGAAGTCTGCCTTCAGGACCCTGGTCTCCCTCCTCTGGGCTTCTGTGTCCGGGGATTGTGTATTGAGAATGAGAACAGAGAAGGGGGGGGGGAGGGTTCTGATGAAACCTTCCAAACTCTCCCTGCAGAAGGAAACATTAACAGCCACAGAGCAAACAATGGACGTTCCTGCTTTAAAGCTCTGACGGGCTCCTGAGGGGAGGGGACAGGAGGTGCTAAGACAGGAGGACAGTGGATATTCCCACAATCTCTCTAGGCCTTCTAGGGTCAGCCTGGGAGGTCAGGGCTAGAGATGCTTCTCCAATCCAGGAGGGCTACCTAGAGGAAGAGGCTATACATGGTCCCCCAATCCAAGCAGGCTCCCCAAAGGTGGCGGTGGCAGAGGCAGCCAGAGCTCCACGAACCCTTGTCTCCTCCCAGGCTATGACTTCCCTGCTGTCCTGCGCTGGTTTGCTGAGCGCGTGGACCTGATCATTCTCCTGTTTGACGCCCACAAACTGGAGATCTCCGATGAGTTCTCTGAGGCCATCGGGGCCCCTCCGAGGCCACGAGGACAAGATCCGGGTGGTGCTCAACAAGGCGGACCTGGTGGAGACGCAGCAGCTGATGCGTGTGTATGGGGCGCTCATGTGGGCACTGGGCCGCGTGGTGGGGGCCCCCGAGGTCCTGCGGGTCTACATCGGCAGCTTCTGGGCCCAGCCGCTGCTTGTGCCTGACAACCGGCGCCTTTTCGAGCTGGAGGAGCAGGACCTTTTCAGGGACATCCAGGCCCTGCCTCGCCACGCTGCTCTGCGTCGGCTCAATGACCTGGTCAAGCGGGCCCGCCTTGTCAGGGTGAGCCATGGGTCCTCACTATGGGAGTCAGGGGGTGCCGAAAGGAGAGCCCGGAGGGCTGCCTGGAGGAGGAGAGTCAGGGTGTGCAGAGAGGAGAGCCTGGAGGGCTGCCTGGAGGAGAGTCCTGGGGAAGGCGAGTCGGGGGTGCAGAGAGGAGAGCCCAGAGGGCTGCCTGGAGGAGGAGAGCCCGGGGGTGCAGAGAGGAGAGCCCGGAGGGCTGCCTGGAGGAGAGTCCTGGGGAAGGGGAGTCAGGGGGTGCAAGAGGAGCCAATAGATGTCCTGTTCCGTCAGTGTGCAGGAGAGCTCCCTCCTCCACCACTCCGGAGTCCTGTCCAGATGGATGCATAGACTGAGTTCAGAAGAGCTGTAGGCTTAGGTCAGACTGCCCTCTGTGTGCCTCTCGGCTTCTGCCTCGTAGGGTGGAGGTGGCTGGTAGCTGGAGGCGTCCTGGACACCTGGATCTCCCCCCCTCAGGAGGCGGCTCCGGAAACCCCGGAGTCCGGGCGCCAACTCCCCCTCCCCCCTTATCTCTTCCCGGCACCTTTCCCTCCTTCCTGCCTGTGAAAGCCATCAGTCCCCCTCTCCACCCCCCCCCCACTGCTCATCAACTCCCTGCCAGATTTCTCCGCCTTTCCCCCATCACAGGAGAAGGCTTGCTTGATTTCATTCCCCTCCTCCCCACTGCTCCCCAAATCCTGTCTCCCCACATCGCTGTCCTCCCCACAGCCATGGCCCCCTGCCTCAGGAAGGCCTCCACACCCAGGCGGGCACCCTCTCCCTCCCTGAGATATGGAGGGAGCCCTGGGCTGCCTCCTGGAGGGACCCGGGAGGATTCTCACTGCATCCTGGGGGGCAGGAGGTGAAAGTGGCGAAGTTCATCTCCCTATCTAGGTGAGGAGGCATTGAGACAGAGACTGAGACAGAAAGGATGGAAGGAGCCTGAATTTGGAGTCCGTTCAGGTCCCAGCTTTACCTTTGGCTGGTCCCTTCCCCTCCACAAGCCTCAGTTTCTCTACTTGTAAAATGAAGGTGCTGCACCAGATGATATGGATAAAGTCCCATCTGGCTCTGAATCCAGCGATCAGTTAAGATAATGTAAAGTTCTTTGTAGGACAGCTAGGTGGCACAGGAGTCAGGAAGACCCAACTTCAAATCTACCCTCAGACACTTACTAGCTGTGTGACCCTGGGCAAGTCACTTCATCCTGTTTGCCTCAGTTTCTTCATCTGTAAAATAAGCTGGAGAAAGAAATGGCAAACCACTCCAGTATCTCTGCCAAGAAAACCCCCAATGGGGTCACGAAGAGTCAGACATGATTGAAAGGACCAAACAGCAAAAAAGTTCTTGGTAAATCTTAATGCGTTCTCATCCTATGAATATTCTACGTTAGTTCCAATGATGTCCTGCTAAGATATTTATCAAAAGATTTGTTTATGATCATAAATAATGACATTGTTATTATATATTACGGGAGGAGCAGTGTGACGTCATGAAGAGAACTGGCTTAAGAGCCGGAAGATCTGGGTGCAAATTCTGCCTGTGATACACCCTGGCTGGTGGCTGGGTGGCCCTGGCGGCCCTGGCTGGCACCACTCTCTGAGACCATCAGTTTCACCAAACACGGTGCTTGTATCGGCAGAGGGAGTATCCTCACCTGAGAATTCCTTCTATCATTGAAATCACAGATCCAGTCACTATGCTCTTATTGTTAAGATCCTACCTATGACTTTGTTGGTGTGGGGAACTCCCAGGCGAGGAAAGTCCATCTGCCGATTCAGGGGTGGGTCCGTTCTCTGCAATTGACGGTCCTAGAGAGTTTCCACGAGCCCTGAATGGTGAAATGATTTGCCTGGGTCACACAGACGGTGTCATCCTGATTCCCCGGCCAGCTCGCAGGTGTACTACACCTTGGCATACCTGGTGCCGTCGTTATCATCTTATAGAGATGGAGACAGAGATGCAAAGCCCTGCCCCCTTTTTTCCTGGAGATGGGAAGGAGGCGGCTCCCTTCCCATCCAGCTCCATGGCCCACCCTCTGCTCTGGACCAGCCTCAGCGAAGGGCGGTCTCTGGAAGAGAGCGGCACTCATTAAGCGCCTGTTGTCTACCAGGCGCTTTACAAAAGCGATTTCTTTTGATTTCCCGGGGCTGGCACCTGGAGCGGGGGCTGGGTTGGTGAGCCTACCGCCTGCTTACTCCCAGGTGCACGCCTACATCATCAGCTACCTGAAGAAGGAGATGCCTTCGGTGTTCGGGAAGGAGAATAAGAAGAAACAGCTCATTACTAACCTGCCTGTCATCTTCGCCAAGATCCAGCTGGAGCATCACATCTCCCCGGGAGACTTCCCCGACTGTGAGAAGATGCAGGTCAGTGGGACAAAGGGAGGGAGGACGGAGGAGTCCAGGAGGACTTCTCAGAGGAGGAGGAGTGACCTGGGGGAGCTCCTTGCAGGAGGAGGCAGGGTGATGTTGGGGGCCCTGGCTGGAGGAGGAATGCTGAGGTGGCTCGGTGATCCCTGAATGACAAAATGGGAGAGCCAGACGAGATCTCCACGGCCATCCAGTCCAACCCACGTACCAAAGGAACACCCAGGATAGCATACCTGATGGGACGTTATCCAGATCCCCGCAGAGGGAGAACCCCTTCCTCTAGGGGTAGCACACGCCCCTCTGGGGCAGCTCACGTTGTTAGAAAGCCTTTTCTGATATCGAGACTCAGTTGGCTTCTTTGCAAGCTGTTGTTTCTGGTTCTGCCCTCTGGAGCCAAACCAAACAAGCCGCGCCCCTCCCCTGCACAACAGCCATTCAAAGCCTTGTAGACATCCCTCCCAGTCGTCTTGTCTTCAGGCGAAACGCCCTTAGTGCCTTCAGCTGAGCCTCCCGCGTCGTGGCCCTTTGTCGTATTCGTTGCTTACTCCTTGACATTTTCCAGCTTGTCAATATCTGTCTTAAAACATGGTGCCCAGGACTCCAGGTGAGGTCTGAGAAGGGCAGAGTGCTGGGGGACCATCACCTTCCTATTCCCGGAAGCTCTGCCGCCTGGATTTGTGTTCACTTGTGTTCATACTTGGCTGCCGTGTCACGTGACTGGCTTATACTGAGCTTGTGAGCCACTAAAACTCCCAGATTCTTTTCAGGACAACTGTCTTTCCACGCCTCCCCTGTCTTAAGCTTGTGAAGTTGATTTCTGTTATCCAAGTACAACACTCATCTCCCTGTTGACTTTCATCTTATCGGATTCAGCCCTGTCCTCTTGTGGCCCTTCAAGATCCCATTGGATCGTGATTGTTAGCCAGTGTATTAGCTCTCCTTTTCAGCTTGCTGTCATCTTCACAGTTGATGGGCTCAACCTCTATCCCTTTAAGTCATTGATAAAAATGTTAGATGTCATAGGGTCAAGTACCAATCCCTGGAACACTCCACTGGAAACCTCCAGATACATTGACATGGAACCATTAACAACTTCCTTGAATCTGGCCAGTCAGCCCTTTCCTACACTATCCATATTATTTTCTAAGCCATATCTTCTCTGTAAGAGTGGCATGAGATCCTTTCTCAAAAGCTTTGCTAAAATCCAGATAAAAACTGTAGCTACAGCATTCCCTTCATCTCCTAGTTTAGTCATCCTGTCAAAAAGAAAATAGCATTAGTCCAGCTGTCCATAATGAAGCCATGTTGCTTCTTGGAGATCACTGCTTCGCTCTTTGGACATTCACCCACCATCTCTTTATTTTTTTTCCTTAATAGTATTTTTTCAATTACATGTAAAAATAGTTTTCAATGTTCATTTTTTTTGATGATAATTATTTTTTATTTTATTTTTAAAAATTGTTTATTTTTAGTTTTCAACATTAACTTTTCTAAGATTTTGAGTTCTAAATTTTCCCTCCTTCCCCAGACAGCAAGCAATCTGATATAGGTTATACATGTACAATCATATTAAACGTATTTCACATTAGTCATGTTGTGAAAGAAGAATCAGGGGAAAGCCACGAGAAAGAAAAAACAAAAAACAAAAAAAAAGTGAAAATAGTATGCTTCCATCTGCATTCAGACTTCCATAGTTCTTTTTTTGGATGTGCTTAACTTTTTCCATCACAAGTCTTTTGGAATTGTCTTGGATCATTGTATTGCTGAGAAGAGCTAAGTCTATCACAGTTGATCATCACACAATGTTGTTGTTACTGTGTACAATATTCTCCTGGTTCTGCTCACTTCACTCTGCATCAGTCCATACAAGTCTTTCCAGGTTTTTCTGAAATCTGCCTGCTCTTCATTGCTCATTTCTCACCGCACAGTAGTATTCCATCACATTCATATACCACAACTTATTCAGCCATTCCCCAATGGATGGACGTCCCCTCAATTTCTAATTCTTTACCATCACAAAAAGAGCTGCTATAAATATTTTTGTACATGTGGGTCCTTTTCTCATTTGTATGATCTCTTTGGGGTACAGACCTAGAAGTGGTATTGCTGGATCAAAGGGTATGCCCAGTTTTATAGCCCTTCAGGTATAGTTCCAAGTTGCTGTCCAGAATGGTTGGATCAGTTCACAACTCCACCAGCAATGCATTAGTGTTCCAATTTTCCCACATTTTCTCCAATGTTTATCATTTTCCTTTTCTGTCACATCAGCCAATCTGATAGGTGTGAGGTGGTAGCTCAGAGTTGTTTTAATTTGCTTTTCTCTAATCAATAGTGATTTAGAGCATTTTTTATTTTGATTATAGATAGCTTTAATTTCTTCCTCCAAAAACTGCCTATTTGTATCCTTTGACCATTTATGAATTTTGGTAATCCACGATTTCGTTAGAGATCTCTTTTAGAATTTTCACAGGATTCCATAGCAAACTCATTAGCCTTGTCTCTTCCCTTTTCTGAAAACTGGTTCACTCTTCTCTGGTCTTTTAGTACATCTTCTTTTTCAGATGCAGTCTTTCAAATGTCCCCAAAGGGCTCAGCCATTCCAGATGCCAGGTCCTTCGGGACCTGAGGAAGGCGCTCATCCAGGCCAAGGGATTTGAATTCATCAAGGGCAGTGAGGGACTCTCTTCCTAACTCATTAACGATCTTGGGTATCAATGCCCTCTTAGTCATTTTTGGTTCTATCATTTCCAGTGTAAAAAGTCACTGTTTTTGCAGAGGAAATAGGAGAAAGTTAAGAGGAGTCACCCTGCTTTTTCTCTGTTGTTGGTTGCCATCACCCAAGCGAAGCCTCTGTCACTTCTTTTTCTCCCGATATAACAAAACCAAACCAACTCCAAACCCCAGTCCTGACCCTTTTCTGTCGTCCTTCCCTTCTCTCACCTCCTGAGCTTTCTCGTTCCTCATTCTTACAGATCACGCTGTGTCCCTATATTTCCTTCTATTCCTTGGCCTTGCTTCCATTTTCTTTGTGTTTCTTTCAAAAATCTAAGTTAATTGGAAACTTCCCTGCGCATCCCCACTGGTCATTTCAGACCAATCCCATGTTTCCTCCCTGATGGATTTATTCTCCCTTTGTGGCTTCAGAATGCCATCTTTGAGCCATCTCCCATCTCTCTTGGGTGGTCTTTCCCTGATGCATTTCAGGTCATGGGATCTCACCTATCTTTCCTCTGAACCCTTTGGAATCCGCTTTCCCCTCAACTGAGGGAGCATGTCAGACTATTTCCTCTTCTCTATCACAAACTCTAGGAGGGAGTGGTCACTTCCCCCCAGGGGTCCCTTCATTTCCACTCCTGCAGCAGTTCCTCCCTGTCAGGGAGAATCGGATCCAGAACAGAATTTCCCTTTGTTGGATCCTCCGCCTTTTGAAAGCTGAAATAGTCATTAAAGGCAATTCGATAAGTTATTTAGCTATCCTGCTTTTGGTGGAGGAAGAGAGGGAGAAACAATCTATGTCCCAGGCTCCTCATCTATTTCCCCTTGCTGTCCGTGTGGTCTGTAGTCCACTCTAATGATGAAATCACTGCTATTTCTGCCTCCTCTGACCTTCACCCAGATACTTTCCTTTGTGTTTCCCCAGCCTGTCCTCTGGGTCCTGGATCCCCTCACATGACTATATTTCCTTAATACACAATTATACGGCACCTTTTGTATTTCCTGTTCCTTTGGAATGAGGTATCCCCCATACAGAGCCATGGCTCAGTTGTGGGCTCTCCCCCCAAGTCCCCCCAGGACGTCCAATTTTCTTCCTTGGGAAGGAACTTCTATGTCATCTGGCTTGTTACCTAAACTTTGGGCATCTGTGGAATAGACATGTGAGTCTGCTGGTTTTACTCCAGGGTCTTTTCTTGGGTTTTGTACTTAGAGAACTTCTCGTTACCTTAGACACTCTCTTCCTTCTTTGTAGCTCTCTCTATTATAACTATGTTGGGGAAATATCCATTGGCAGTCTTTTCCCTCCCCGTTCTTTCGCATTTAAAGATCAGTGAAGGAAGCTTGGAGGAGGAGGAGCTGGGTGTCGGGGAAGGCAACCATGGGAATTTTCATAGGAATGTGGGATGCAGTGTGGGATGGGTACAGTGATACCCCCTCCAGGTTGGAAGCTTCTCAGATTGGTGCCAGCCTCTGTATGTATTAGAGAGGGATGTAAGCGTTGGGGGGAGGCACTGAGGCCCAGAGTCCAAGGGGACAGTGTCTGGAGAGAGGGACACAGCCCAGGGTCCAAGGCCAGGGGACGGTCTGGTGGGCCCAGCCAGGTGCTTCCTCCACCAATCTCTGCTCTCCTTTGTTCTTCCTCTTCCTCCCCCTCACCTTTCCTTTGTCTCTTCTTCCCCTTCTCCTGTCCCTCTCCTATCTTTCCTCAGTCTTCCCTGATCCCTCTTCACCTGCCCCCATTCTTCCCCAGTGAAATCTCTCCTCCTTCCTTTTGCTTCTCCCTGTGCCCTTCCCCATTCCTCCATTTTTTATTAATTTATTTTGATTTATCAACAATCACTGCCATAAGCTTTTGAGTTTAAAATTTTTCTCCCCCTCCCTCCAAAATGGTGCACAATCTGATACAGGCTCTACATATACATTCCTATTAAATATATTTTCACATTGGTCATGTTGTAAGCTCTGTCTCCATTCTTTTCCAGTCCTCTGCTGTCTCTCTGCTGTTCATCTTTCCTTAATCCTCCCCTGTCCTTCATCCCTGCTTTACCCTAGGCCTCCTCATCCCTTCTTCCTTCCCTCCTCTGCCTTTGCTGTGCCCCCCTCTTGCCTCCTCTGTCTTTCCTCTGTCCCACCTCTCCCTCCCTTGCCCATGGGACCCTGATTCTCTCTGACCCTCCTGGTTTCTCCGGGCAGGAACTCCTCATGGTTCATGATTTCACCAAGTTCCACTCTCTGAAACCAAAACTGTTGGAGGCCTTGGATGAAATGCTGACCCAGGACATCGCCAAGCTGATGCCCCTGCTGCGCCAGGAAGAGCTGGAGAGCCCTGAGGTGGGCGTGCAGGGGGGAGCCTTCGAGGGCACCCACATGGGTCCCTTCGTGGAGCTGGGTCCCGGAGAGGCCTTGGGCGAAGGGGGGGAAGATGGGGATGATGAAGCAGAGTGGGTGGTGACCAAGGACAAATCCAAATACGACGAAATCTTCTATAACCTGGCTCCGGCCGACGGCAAGCTCAGCGGCTCCAAGGCCAAGACGTGGATGGTGGGCACCAAACTGCCCAATTCGGTCCTGGGTCGCATCTGGAAGCTGAGCGACGTGGACCGCGACGGCATGCTGGACGATGAGGAGTTCGCCTTGGCCAGTCACCTCATCGAGGCCAAACTGGAGGGCCATGGGGCTGCCCGCTGACCTGCCCCGGCACTTGGTGCCGCCCTCCAAACGCCGTCAAAAGGGCTCTGCCGAGTGAGGGGCCTGCTTCTGGCTCTGTTGCTCCCGCACCAAACTTGCTCCCCGGCTCTTCCTCTCAGAGCCCACTTTTAGCTTGTGTCCCCCATAGCTATGTTCTTCTCTGAACCCCTGACTGGTGTCCCTATGTCTGGACCTTTCTGAGCTCCCATCTCTGTCTTCTCTGAATCTCCAACTTTACCATCTCTTGAGTTCCCATCATGTTTCCTTCTCTGAGCCATCTCTGTATTCTGTGAATCTCCATGACTGGCCTGTCCCCCTCTGAGCCCCCAAACTCTGAACTCTCATCTCTCTGAGCCCCCCAACTCTGTCCCATTCTGAGCCCCGTTTCTATCTCTCTCATGTCCCAAACTTCCTTCTTATTTCTGTCTCACTCTGATCCCCCTTTATTTTTCTCCAAGCTTCCAATCTGTTAACATCTCTGCCCTTCCTTGCATCTCCAAAATCTCTCTCTTAACTCCTAATAGCCTCCCTATCTGTTCCACTAAATCTCCAGCTCTGCCTAATCCCCTGACCTGTACCTCCATTCTCTACCTAAACCCCTTCAGCCCTTTTCTCTCTGAACTCCCAATATGCTTCCCCATCCTTCTTCCCTCATCTTGGTCCCCTTATGACTGCTGGTTTCTCCCTTGGAAGCTCTTTTCTCCCTCTGAGCCCCCAAATCTTCCCTACTCTGAGACCCAATCTTTGTCCCATTCAGAGACTCCCATTTTCTCCTACTTCCTAACCAGCCTCCCACTAGTTGGACACTGCTCCTGGCCCTTCATATCCCTCACTCTCCCTCATCAAACAGACTCTACCTTGCTCACAGCTACCCCAAATGTGAATTATTTTGCTTTTCCTCCTGCCTTGCCCTGGGGAAGTCCCTTCATACAGCCCTTATAAAGGCCCAAGGGACCTGCTTGTATTTTAGCTCTATGGACTAAAATACATCCTCTCCTCTCTTCCACTTCCACCCGAATCCTCAGCCGTGACGGGTCTTTGGATTTAAAAGGAAGTTGGGGGGAAAAGAGAGATTCCCTTCCACATATTCCATCCCCAACACACAGATAAATACCTCCCCTCCCAACACACTTACACACACACATACACACCTGGTTGTTCAGCAGACATAGTATAAGGACCAAGGTGAGGGGGATGAGGCAGAGGTTTTAAGTATACGTGACATTGTGGACACATTAAGTAGATGCAAGTGACTGATCCCTTGGTCACATGACCAATAGAAGGAATGCTTCTAGCCCCCAGCTTGTTGACTGCCCCATGAGTCCATGGAGAAAGTGTAGGGACCACTGAGGGCTCCAAAGAGGACCTAGATGGACAGAATCAGTCCTAGACCTTCCTTCCTCTCCATCTATTCCTCTTAGGTGACCAACGCAGGTCAGTGACTTCAGGGGCAAGGGCAAGGGCAGAACAGAGAGATGTGATTGCCCCAGAGCTAAGCTAGGGAGAGTGATTTAGAGATGAAAGAGAATGAAGTTTCTTTCAGAGTTCTGGTCCTTGGTCCAGCCCCTCCGAGGTGGCTGGTCTGGACACTGCCCAGGGACTAGTTGGAGTGGGGTTGGTGTGGTCACGTCCCCAGCAGGAGCTGGCCAGTCTGGCTGTAGAGAGTTAGAGACCCAGGGATCTGCCTCCTTTCCTTCTGTATTTAAATACTTTACCTGGGTCTTCCTAGACCATCTGACTTGTCAGTTTATAGAATTTATGTGAAGAACAGTCAGTTCTCCAAACAAACTCATTGGCCCATATCTGTCATATGGAATCTTTATTTTTGCTGTGTACTTTTCCCCATCAGCTGCACTCGAGGAATCCATCACCAAGTCCATGAGTCCATATTTATGATATCCAGACTTCTGGGGTGGGGAGGCTGTATTTTACCGGGGCCATTTTTCTACCCTCTTTCGCCGACTCTGCCCGACTCTTACAGAAACACAGGATCATTGATGGAGAGATGGAAGGGGCCTGAGATGTCATCCCATCCAACCCCTTTGTTTTACAGATGAGAAAACAGGCTGAGAAAGTTAAGTGACGTGCCCAGTTTTGGAACGCTAGAAAGTGTGTGAGGCAGGATTTGAATCCAGGCCTTCCTGACCTGAAGTCCAATACTCTTTTTGTCTGCTGCCTCTCCTAGAGCAGGGACCAGGGTCCATAGAGATTAATCACCTGGTGTGTCACCTAGAAGGGCAGGGACCGAGGTCCAGCTACTTCTCCCCTCCTGGGGGACCCTGAGATGGGAGTGGGGGAGTATGCAGGCCTTCCTTCCACCAAAATCCCACTCATACCTGATTGTCCAAAGTGGGACATCCCACCCTTATACCTGCATGCACACACACACACACACACACACACACCCACGCTTAGAGATCCCCAGTGGACATTCTGTTCCTTACCTAGGCTGCTGGGGTATGTGTGGCAAGGCTGACCCCTGAAGTGAAGCCTAGCCCCCAGGGGGGTTGGGTGGATGAGGGGTAGGGGGTTTGTATACCCCCATGGGGTATACTCCCATATTTCTGGCCCAAGGCCGCTCTGGTAAGGGAAGGGCGATTTCTTGGTTTCTTTGCTGGGCCTCAGAACAGAGACAAGCAAAGGAGAGAGGGGTGGTTGTCCAGCCTGCTGCCGTGGCCCTGAGATCAGCCTGGGAGAGAGGATGGTTGCCTGGCCCACCCCTCTGGCTGTGAGACCTCCTGGCGGGTTCCCTAGTCTCTGTGACATGTAAGAGGAGAGTGTGAGGTTCAATAATAAAAATGCTTCTCACAGTGTGGCGGGCCAAGCCCTCCCTGTGTGGGGGAGGGGGTGCCAGGGGCGCTGGTGACTCAGAGGGGCCGCCTGGCCCTAATGACTCAGGCCTGGGCGTACTGCCAGCTGGGACATATTTTCCAAAGAAAAGTTAACATTCTCTTCCCGCCCTCCACCCTCCTGTGGGACCCTCTGGCTCCACCCCAGCCCAGCCCCTTTCCCCTCCCTGGCCCTGGGAACAGAGCCTGGTGGGGAGTAGGGTCATGGGTCAACTGGCCTCAGCCCAGCTTTGGGTAAGTGGGCAAAGTTGCTGTGTGCATATATGTGTGTGTACCGTGTATGGAAGAGCACATGTGTCCCAGCCTGGCCAGGACCTGACCAAGGACTTAATTTTTCACACAAAACATGCATGTGTATAATATGTAGTGAATTGAGTCAGAGCACACACACACACACACACACACACACACACACACACACGCCACTCACATGGAAACCAGGTGCCAAGAGCAGATATAGGCACTCGCTGGGAGGAGGGGGGCTGCGGGAGACATTCAGTGAGACAGCAAGGACGTGTCTGCCTCCCAGGTAGATGAAACAGAGACAGAGGTGGCGGAGAGCCACGGACACACCAAACATGGACAGACTGCCCAGGCTCAGAGGAGCCCCCAAGACAGGAGCTATCCCTCAACCCAAGGCACACAGTGTTCCCCCCGGAGCACAGGGCACATGTCGGGACCCCCACAACCCAGAAACAAAAACAAGGACACCCTCAGACATCATGACTCACAATGTCAAGTCAACAAGCATTAATTGAGTGCCTACTGTGTGCCAGGCACTGTGCTAAGTGCTGGGGACACAAAGAGAGGTAAAAGAGCGAAGTCTGTTGGGGGAGACAATGTGCAGATAAACCATGGCCAGGACAAACAGGGGTTGCTCTCGGAGGAAAGGCACGTGGATTGAGGAGGATGGGGAAGGCTTCTGGCACAGGGTAGAACTATAGCGGAGACCCAGGATGAAGGACTCTGGGAACACCAGCACCAACTGTAGATTTCAAACTACATTAAGAGCCTGCGGGCTCCGAGGCCCCAGGCAGCCTCAGGCCCCCAGCTCTGCCCTCCCCAGCTCCCTCCTTCCTGGCTCCCTTCCCCGCCCAGCCCAGCCCAGCCCAGCATCCCCTCCCCATCCTTCCCTGGAGGTGGGAGCCCCCTGGCGTTCAAACGTGCCAGCTCAGGCACCTCCTCCCCGCCAGGACGCTGGAGAGACCCGACACCAGGAGGGGCCTTAGAGATTCTGTGGCCCACTCCACTCTAAGGCTCAGCGTGGGCCACAGCCCGCAGCTCTCATTCCCTGCATGCATTTTATACAGTTATTATCATCTCCCCTTTCTGTGGAAGTTTAACCAACAGTCCTGTAAGGTTTAGCAGCTAAGTAGAGGAAATAGGGGACAGAAACATTTATTTCTATTAGGAAGGAAACACATTTGTTAAGCACCTACTATGTGTGGTGTGCTGAGCACTTTACAGATAGGATCTCATTTGATCCTCACCACAACCCTGGGAGGAAGGTGCTCTTACTATTCCCATTTTACAGTTGAGGAAACTGAGACAGGGGTTAAGTGACTTGCCCAGGGTCACACAGCTAGGTAGGATTTGAGGTAGGATTTCAGTCAGTCAATAAACATTCATTAAGTGCCTACTATATGCCAGGAGGTGTGCTAAGCCCCGGGGATACAAAGAAAGGCAAAAGACAGTCCCTGCCCTCAAGGGGCTCACAATTAAAGGGGGAAGATGGTGCATCAAAAGGGGGATGAGAGGCATGATGGTACCCAGAGGCTGCAGCCTGGTGAGAAATGAAGGATTTGAACTCGAGTTTTCCTGACTCCAGGCCCAGCGCTCTATCCATTGTGCCACCTTGATGAGTGGTGAAGGGACCAACCTAAGGTCACACAGCTGGTAAATGTCAGGGCGAGGACTCAATCAGAGTTAGGGCTCAAACTTAGGTCCTATGGCTCAAAGGGTGGCTATGTGGCACAGTGGGTAGAGTCCTGGGCCTGAAGTGAGGAAGACATCTTCCTGAGTTCAAATTTGTCCTCAGATGCTTACTAGCTGTGTGGCCCTGGGCAAGTCACTTCACCCTGTTTGCCTCAGTTTCCTCATCTGTAAAATGATCTGGAGAAGGAAATGGCAAACGACTCTAGCATCTCTGCCAAGAAAACCCCAAATGGGGTCAGGAAGAGTCAAACTACCACAAGAAATGACTCAAAGATCCATTCTGTTCCCTGCACTATTCATTTGTTTATTCACTGATTGATTCATTCCTTTGCTGGATAATTCACTCACATTCCTCCCATTTAGTCATTTACCCATCAATCACTTGTTAAATCATCAAGTATATCATTCTTTTACTCATTTATTTACACATTCACTAATTCATCTTCATTCATTCTTTCTTTTTTCATTCACTTATTCATTCCACTCACTTATCCATTCACTCATTTCTTCATTCACAATAATTTATCAAACAGATGTTATCCCCAGACCCTGTGGAACTTTCTAGGCATACGTAGAAGGAAAAAATCCAAAAAGTCCCTGCCCTCGAACAGCTTACATTCTATCTGGAAAAAAAACAATATGTAGATAGATAAGTAAGAAATGGATAAAAAGTTATTTGGATGATTCCGGGGTGTTATATTTTGGGTTAAATTATCTACAAAGATGGCTATAGCCTTAATGAATAATGATGATGGGTTTTTTCCCACTAAATATATAAATTTACTTGACAGGGATATTAAATGAGGGTTGCCTAGCACATGAACTAAAAGGAAAATTTCCAAGTCAATGAAAACATCCAAATGCAGCAGAAGTCACAGTATCATAAATTGGGAGCTGGAAGTGACCTTTGGTCATTTTAAAGATATTTGTCTTAAGCCTATTGAGGTCCCACAGTCCCAAGGTCACACAGGTAGTAAATAGCCAATCTGGGATTTTTAAACTAACTTCAAATCTAGTGTTCTTTTTTTCTTTTAAATGTGAAGAGTATTTTATTTTTTCCAATTACATGTAAAGACAATTTTCAACATTCATTTTTTAATAAGATTTTGAGTTCCAAATTCTCTCCCTCCCTCCTCTCCAAGATGGCAAGCAATCTGACATAGGTTATACTTGCACAATCATGTTAAACATATTTCCACATTAGTCATGTTGTGAAAGAAGAAACACAACAAAAGGGGAAAAAACTATTAAAAAAAAGGTGAAAATAGTATACTTCAATCTGCATTCAGACTCCATCAGTTCTTTCTCTGGAGATGGATAGATTTTTTCCATCAAGAGGCTTGGATTGGCTTAGATTCTTAAAATCTAGCCACTGCTCAGATTCTTACAATCTAGCCAATAGTTCACTAATATTCAGACTCCTTAAGAGTCTGTCCAATATGACGGATGTTCTAATAAACCTCGTCTTTGGCTGGGAAAAAAAAAGAATCTTAGATCATTGTGTTGCTGAGAATAGCTAAGTCATTCACAGTTGATCATGGTACAATGTTACTGTTACTGTGTACAATGTTCCCCTGGTTCTGCTCATTTCACTTTGTATCACTTCATATAAGTCTTTCCATGTTTTTCTGAAATCATCCTGCTCATCATTTCTTATGGCACAATATTATTCCATTACATTCATATACCACAACTTGTTCATCCATCCCCCAGTTGATGGGCATCCTCTCAATTTCCAATTCCTGGCCACCACAAAAAGAGCTGCTATAAATATTTGTGTACATGATGATGGTCTTTTTTAAAAATTGGACCCAGGATTTCATTATTTTGGGAACTTGTGGTGAAGAACTCCCTTAAACGATCCAGATGACCAACCCCATTCTCTGCAACACATAATCTTAGAGCTGTCTGGGGGACTCACTAAGTAAGAGGTTTAGTGGCCTCGAGGCCACAGGTTCCCTACCCTTGGTTTAGAGATTTGAATTCTTGTCTTCCTGACTCTTACAGTTAGTATGATT